TCATTGGTACCTTTGAAAATAGTGCTGAAAGCATCACTGTTTCAAATGGCTTTCATGTGATTTATCTGTCACGCTACTGCTTTATTGCTTCGACTCTGAAACTGGTTTTGCATTTTTCATGTCAGGATTATATTTTAATGTAGTATATGTCATTTGTATTTCTTTTACTTTTTGAAGTAATATCATGTTAATGAATTTCTATTTTTACACTTGTATTTTGTCAATCTGGGTGGATTTGATCCAGAAAGGTAGTTTATAATTATTTAAATGAATAGAAGCATAGAGCTGGAAGGGGACAAGAAGGCATGAGGTCCAACCCTCTGCTAAGTGCGGGACTCCAAGTTAAACCATCCCTCTCCGAGGGGCCTCCAGTGTGGGAAAGCCCACAGCCTCCCTAAGTCCAACCGTCAGGAATCTGGCGTCCTCTCCCTTGAACCTGTTCTTATCTGTCCTGCATTCTGGGATGACTGAGAGGCAACTCTGGCCACCTCCTGTGTCACACAAGAACTTGAAAGATTTGTGAATGAAAGAAATCAGCAGGTCTTACTTCTGAGCAGACAGATATATGACTGCAGTGGAAGAGACATGATAAAAAAAAACGCCAAAAAAAAATAAAAATAAAACACTTATAATTTTTCTTTCACAACCATTTAGGAAAAGCCAGATGTGCACCGCAAAGGCGACACCTGTTTTGCGTGTGCTACTTTATATTTATTGTGCAGATTTAGTGTATTTCTGCCTAGATAAATGTCAACTGGAAGGGCAACACATCTCCCATCAGAGTGAAAGATGGTGACCTGTGTGGTTTGTCCTGCTCTGCCCAGGATGTTAATTGGCCCCCTTGAGGCCTCTGCTTTGTTCCCAGCTTAATTCCTGCTATGGCCAATTTAGCAGCAGTCGTCCCTGGCTAGCACACCAAACCGTCATGCCACGGACCGGTCATGCCAAGCCAGCAACGCTTCCTCAGCCTGTCCTGCAGCTCCGCATGGCCCACCAGCCTCCTCCTCCCTATCCTCACCATAATGACTGCCCATAATGCCCTGCACTGAGCTGTCCACTCTGCGAGCCTCTTGCAGGGGTTGGGGACTATTTGGTCAAGCCAAGTTCCCATCATCCTGTGGGCCAGCTGCCCTCCTATTAGAAGCTCATGCCAAGGCAGACTCCCATGATGCCCGTGTTGGGATCCTGACAGAAAAGGGATGCTTATGTGTCTGTGTTATAAAATGCCTATGAACCCCTTTTTCTCAGGAAGCACCCAAACAATTCTAAGCTAGATTACTGTTTGGCATTTGCTGTTACTTTAAGAAGTGGGATTTGATGGCTTCCCCCAAGAAGCTGCCAGGGCTATTATGCTGGTCAATAAGAACTGGTCAGGCTGCCAGGTTAACAGCAGTGCAATCACCCTTATTTGCATGCCAAGACAATAATCCTGTGATCGATCCTTATGTTAATATCCTGCAATCAAATGCCATTGTACTGAGCTCCCTCTGGCAGACCTCTCACCTTCTTCTGACTGTGTTCACCTTGTTTCGTCACCAGCCGCCCAACTGCTGGGCCCATGTGACTCAAACGATGAAATACTCTTTATATGTTCTAAAAGCTTGTAGTTGGCACTGCAGATCAGCAAAACAAAAGCCCTGGCAGCTTCTTGGGGGAAGTCATCGTGTCCCACTTCTTAAAGTAACAGCAAATGCCAAACAGTAACCTGCTTCCTGAGAAAAAGGGGTGCACAGGCATTTTATAACACAAAGACATATAAGCATCCCTTTTCCGTCAGCATCTGGCTGGATTTTCCCAACACCCGGCGCCCATCTCAGCTTAACCACGCCCCCAGAATGTATTTCAAATCTATTTCGTGGATTCCAGGGCAGGGCAGGCTATAGCTACATCCACACTGCAGCCTCCACCCTAAGCCGGTTTTCCCGTCCCTAAAACCAGTGGCTCCTAAAATGCTCAGACTCCGGTCCACAGAGATAGGAAAAAGAGAAGAGTGGCGCGGATCACTCACTCCCTTAACTTCTGCAAACCAGCTCAATGCCTAGAAATCCCTATGACACTCTAGATCCTTCGAAATTTATCTTGATAATCTTCCCTCTTGTGCGCTCGTAGTAACAGAGGAAAATCAATTCACGTTTTAGACCCTAGTTGTTAGTCGCAAAGTTGTGTCTGACCCATTGCAACCCCATGGACAACATTCCTCCAGGTCTTCCTGTCCTCCACCATCCCCCAGAGTCCACTCAATCTCACGCCGACTGCTTCAGTGACTCCATCTAGCCACCTCATTCTCTGTCATCCCCTTCTTTTGCCTTCAATTGTTCCCAGCATTAGGCTCTTCTCCAGGGAGTCCTTCCTTCTCATTAGGTGTCCAAAGTATTTGAGTTTTATCTTCAATAAAGAGCAGTCAGGGTTGATCTCCTCTAAGATTGACTGGTTTGATCGCCTTGCAGTCCAAGGGACTCACAGAAGTCTCCAGCACCACAATTCAAAGGCCTCAATTCTTCAGTGCTCAGCCTTCCTTATGGTCCAACTTTCACAGCCATACCTTGCAACTGGGAAAACCATAGCCTTGACTATACGCACTTTTGTTGGCAGGGTGATGTCTCTGCTTTTTAGTATGCTGTCTAGATTTGCCATAGCTTTCCTCGCCAGGAGCAAGTGTCTTTTAATTTCTTGGCTGCAGTCCCCGTCTGCGGTGATCTTGGAGCCCAAGAAAATAAAATCTGTCACTACCTTCATTTCTTCCCCATCTATTTGCCAGGAAGTGAGAGGACTGGATGCCATGATCTTCGTTTTCTTAATGTTGAGTTTCAAGCCAGCTTTTGCACTTTCCTCCTTCACCCACATCAAGAGGCTCTTTAGTTCCTCTTCACTTTCTGCCATTAGAGTGGTATCATCTGCATACCTGACGTTGTTGATATTTCTCCCCGCAATCTTAATTCCAACTGGTGATTCATCTAGGCCCGCCTTTCTCATGATGTGCTCTGCATATAAGTTAAATAGGCAGGGCGACAGTATACAGCCTTGCCGAACTCCTTTCTCAATTTTGAACCAATCAGTGGTTCCGTGTCCAGTTCTCACTGTTGCTTCTTGACCTGCATATAGGTTTCTCAAGAGACAAGATGGTCTGGTACTCCCATCTCTTTAAGAACTTGCCACAGTTTGTTGTGATCCACACAATCAAAGGCTTTGGCATAGTCAATGAAGCAGAAGTAGATGTTTTTCTGGAACTCCCTAGTTTTCTCCATGATCCAGCGTATGTTGGCAATTTGATCTCTAGTTCCTCTCCCTCTTCAAAATTCTGCCTGTACTTCTGGTAGTTCTCGGTCCACATACTGCTGGAGCCTAGCTTGTAGGATTTTGAGCATAACTTTGCTAGCATCTGAAATGAGTGCAATGGTACAGTAGTTTGAACATTCTTTGGCCTTGCCTTTCTTTGAGATTGGAATGTAAACTGACCTTTTCCAATCCTGTGGCCACTGCTGAGTTTTCCAAAATTGCTGGCATATTGAGTGTAGCACTTTACTGCATCATCTTTTAGAATTTTGAATAGCTCAGCTGGAATACTGTCGCCTCCAAGAGCTTAAGACTTCTTAAGGTCCATTTGACTTCACATTCCAGGATGTCTGGCTTGAGGTCAGTGACCACCCCATCATGGCTATCAGGGATGTTAAGCTCTTTCTTGTATAGTTCTTCTGTGTAATCTTGCCACCTCTTCTTAATCTCTTCTGCCTCTGTTACGTCCCTGCCATTTTGGTCTTCTATCATGCCCATCTTTGCATGAAACGTTCCTTTCATATCTCCAATTTTCTTGAAGAGATCTCTGGTCCTCCCTATTCTATTGTTTTCTTCTATTTCTTTGCACTGTTCATTTAAGAAGGCATTCTTATCTCTTCTAGCTATTCTCTGGAATTCTGCATTCAGTTGGGTGTATCTTTCTCATTCTCCTTTGCCTTTCACTTCCCTTCTTTCCTCAGCTATTTGTAAAGCTTCCTCAGACAGCCATTTTGCTTTCTTCCATTTCTTTTTCTTTGGGATGGTTTTGGGATGGCTACCTCTTGTACAATGTTGCAAACCTCCATCCATAGTTCTTCAGGCACTCTGTCTATCAGATCTAATTCCTTAAATCTATTTGTCACCACTACTGTAAATTCATCAGGGATATGATTTAGGTCATAGTTGAGTGGCCTAGCACTTTTCCCTACTTTCTTCAATTTAAGCCTAACTTTTGCAACAAGAAGCTCATGATCTGAGCCACAGTCAGCTCCTGGTCCAGTTTTTACTGACTGTATAGAGCTTCTCCATCTTTGGCTGCAGAGCACATAGTCAGTCTGATTTCTGTGTTGACCCGTCTCTTGCGTTGTTGGAAAAGAGTGTTTGCTATGACCATTGTATTCTCTTGACAAAATTCTACCAGCCTGTGCCCTGCTTCATTTTGTACTCCAAGGCCAAACTTGCCTGTTATTCCGGTTATCTTTTGGCTTCCTACTTTAGCATTCCAATCCCCCATGATGATAAGGACATCATTTTTTGGAGTTAATTCTAGAAGGTGCTGTAGGCCTTCATAGAACCGGTCAACTTCAGCCTCTTCAGCGCCAGTGATTGGGGCATGGACTTGGACTATTGTGATGTTGAATAGTTTGCCTTGGATTCGAACTGAGATCATTCTGTCATTTTGGAGATTGTATCCCAGTACTGCTTTTCCTACTCTTTTATTGACTATGAAGGCTACTCCATTTCTTCTGAGGGATTCTTCTCCACAGTAGTATACCTGATGGTCATCTGAATTAAATTCACCCATTCCTGCCCATTTTAGTTCACTGATTCCTAAGATGTCGTTTAGACCCTACGTACCTTCCTAAATAATAATTTAAAAAAATTGATAACCTATGCGTGACTCTACACTTTCGTAGCTCTATATTTCAAGACTAATCTCCCTCCCCCCCGCCGGTCGCTGTGCTGGCAATTTTAAAAAACACTAATACGTCATTTCCTGCGTGCGCTCGGCTGGGACCCGGAAGTGAAGGATGGCTGAGGGGGTTTCTCTGTGCCGAGCGACCGGTAAGCGGCCCGGCGGACCCGGAGAGAAGGTAGGGCGAGTGGGCCGCGGCCGTATCCGTCTGCTCGGTCTCCTGGATGCCTGGCGGCGTTCCTTGGCCCCTTGGGAACCGGGGGGGGGGAGATGGCCGAGGAGCCAGGGGCGTCCCTCCCCCCGGTGCGCGAAGGCTCCCTGGAGCGCAGCCTCCCTCTGCGCGCTCTCGAAGGGCTCGTGTGAAGCGGGGGCATGCCGGCCACGGCTCTCGTGCAGGGCCTGTGCTAGGTCCTGAAAGATCTGGGGCTCAGACCCACAGAGGGGTGCATGCTCATTTACACGTGCTTTAAGGTCTGTATGGACTTTGTCTTCTAAGGGCAGCCCATTGAGTAAAAAAGGTTGCATAGAGAGAGGAAAGTATTTCAGAACAGGAAAAGAGAGTCAGGCGGAAGCGTTCAAAGGGAAGGGGCAGCAGGAGGTGATACTCATGTGGGGAAAGAGTCAGCTAATCCATGGGTATCAGATGCAGCAGAGATAACTGTTCTTCCAGCTCGTGCCGATGGATGGCAGGGTTATGTGGCTGGTGGCCTCCCAGAGATTCAGGCCCCCAAACGAAAGGGTTGGAGCTCCGAGTCTAGTGGGGTGCCCCCTAACACCATCTGTACTCTTGTGGTAAAAACTGACTTTGACTGGCCTGTCCCCTTGGGCAGAATTAAGGATGGCGACTGCTTGATGGCTAATTTCCCATGAAGTCTATTGGCTTAGTGACAACTGTGGAAGAAAACCAATGGGTGGGAGGGGGTGGCATTCATGAAACAGTAGTGAAGACCATGCTTAGGGGACTGAATAATACATAATAGATTGCCTGTTGGTCTGATACAGTATGTTCCCACTTCAAGTGATTTCTAGCATTTTACAGGGACTGCTAAAGGAGATGCATCCTGGTTGGATCTTGCAAAGTGCTTCTAATTCTCTTAGGGTGCAATCCTATGGGATTCCAGGCTGCTAAATAGAGGCCCTCCATCTCAGAGGCTTCCAAGTATTTAATGCCATGCTGGGCTGCTAGTTGGTGATCCATGGAACACAAGGATCAAGCCAAAGCTGATGGCATGAGCTCTCCAGCCTGGTATATAGGCTTCCTGAGATTAGCTTTTGAAAAGAGTCTAGTGGAGTAGACCTAGAGTTTGATTTGCTGTAGGCAAGGCAATTGTTATAGTTTTAACATGCAGGAACTTTTATTTCCCAACATGCAAACCAAGATAAGGACATAATATCCTCTTGTCCTGAGGGTTGCACTTAGGATCAGGACAGATTAATCAGGCAATTTTCTCATAGATATAAGCCTTCCCAAGTTTGAAACCTGCCTGTTATATCTAAAGTCTGACAATAGAGTATTACACTGTTAGCACAACAACAGTGCTAATCGTTTTAGGCATACTTATGGCATTTATATATACTGAATGTTATTTTGAATCAAATTTTCTTTAAAGTGCTTTCTCTTAATTTCTTGTATTCTCCATTTAGTCCCCACGTGACTTAGTTCTTCTGGCTTTTCTTCATGGAACTTTTAAGGAGTGAAATGTGCTTTAAACTGTGGACACATTCTGTCCAAAGGTCATTATGTTTCAAAGGTAAGTGATCATAACTTCCTTAGATTGTAGAGTTATGTAAAATCCAAAAACCACAGTATTTTATTGAAGAAATTGAAGTTTCCAGTACATTTCAGTCCATTAATTAATAAAGGAAAACAGTATGTCTGCAGAGAAGTGAGTCTGCATGAATACCTATATTTATGAAAGGTTATATGTGAATTTATAAGCAGCTTCTGTTATTACCAAAATGCTTGTCAACATGAAAACAATGGGCAGGGGTTATACATCAATAGGTAAACATGTTTTGCATAATAACATCTCCGGTTAAAAAGTCTGAGAAAGGCCCCTATGTGACTCTTGTGCAGAGTGCTACCAGTCAGAGTAGGCTAGCAGTTCTCACCTTTCGGGTGCCTGTGGACACATCTGGGGAAGTGAGAACCTGCTCTGGGCATCTGCATAGAATGGCTGCCATGGAGTATACGGCTTGTCCCATAATAGCTGCTGCGGAGGCCTGGCTAGTCAAAAGAAACGAAGGGGGAAACAGTGAGGCTAAAAGCTAGGAAAGCAGAGAAACAGTGAGGTAAAGAGGGGAGACAAATAGCAAAGCTACAAACTGGGTGTGGAGAGAAGCTGGGTGGAAGAGAAAGAGCAAGGCTAGGAGGAGAAATCTAGGGGCAGGAAAGGGATAGGGGAGAGAGAGAGAGAGAGAGCATGGTGATACAGAATAGGAGATGGCTTGAGTGTGGGTGAAGGAAAACTCCTAGTAGATGCATTTGAACTCTGATGTGTGCCTATAGACAGGTATACTTAGGGCCCACGAGATCAGCAGAGACAACATTTTGCTGCCTCAGTTCAGCCCTCTATCTGCTGTCCTGTGAAGTTTTTAGGGTGACATGCTGGCTCTAAGTTCACTGTAGACCCGTCGGGCCTGGTGTAACGTATTTATTAGGTACTTACATTATAAAATGCTTGCATTTGCCAGGGCTTAGACACCAGTGTTACAACAGTTAAATCAGGTGGGATAGGCAAAAAACAGCTTGATCCAAGTTTCTTGCATGAATTTCAGTTGGTGTAGCTCAGGGATGTTGGTAAGGCACTTGAATAGGTTGTGCAACTGCTTCTTCACAGGATCCTTGCTCCAAGCAGGGAGTGTTCCACTGGCTGGGCTAAGGGGATGCTTACAGGTGATGTCGAGAGCACTCTTGGAAAAAAAAATCCTGGACCATATGGCAAGTGTCCTTTCCTGGCAGCATCCCTGACTAGCTGGTGTCCAATCAGCTCCAAGCGTTTTTGATTGAGAATTATTATCTGGATCCATTCCAGTTGGGGGTTTAGGGGACCCTTATTCCCTGAGATCCAAATAGCTCTGCTGGTTTGCCAAACCCACCCTCCATAGGATGCCCACAGGCCTCTTAGTTTGGAGGCTTACTGGCATCCTCATTGGACTGTGCCCCAAGTGACACACAGGGCATAGGCTTATCTCCCCACTCACGGGCTCATCCTTATTTCTTGCTTTACCTGATTTTCTGTCGTCTTGTCTGATTTTGTTAGCTGCCTGAAAGTGCATGTGAAAGTTGGGCTATTATTTAATTAACAGACCAGTGTAGTTCTGAAGAAGAACTTAGGGTCTGAAGAAACAGTATTTAGGGATGTTTTCAATAAAACCTGTTGGAGTTAGACTTGCTTATTACCACAGAGGTACCACCTCTCCTTCTTGGTGATGTTGCTTGGTGATGTTATAATTTGCAACACGCATGCCAGTGTAAGCATTGCCCATTTTCCCAATGAAGGTGGAGCAGGTGTTAATATCTCATCATGGTAAGGTACTGATGCTATAACAAGGCTGTGAAATTATTCTTGTTCCTCACTGCCTCAAACCCTGTAGAGTCAGTGCAATGTAGCAGTTAGGGGGTTAGACTCATGGGGCCTAGGTTCAGATCTCCACTCAGCCATGAAACTCACATGGATGACCTTGGGGCAGACACCAGCTCCTTGCCTAAGCTATCTCATGGGGTTGTTGTTGCAGTAAAATGGAGAAAAGAGGATCATCTAAATCTCCTTGGAAGAAGAGGCTGGATACGAATGTACTTTTTAATATCGTTGAAACCTTTCCTTTTCAGTTTCAATTTGTACTGTTAATTCTGGGGAAGATGTGTATGCCTTATGAATCTCTGACATCTGGCTGACCGTAGAAGTCTAGCTCTTCTTGTAGTTTTCCTGTCTTGGATCAAAATGTCCCAAAATGGGTAGGTGAGTATCTGGCTATTTACTAGTAAATGTATAAAAACTGAACACTTAGTGGAGATCAAAGTCTGACTTGGAGTCTCAATATCCTGAAGTTGTATGCTTTCCTTGAAACTTTTATCAATGCTTACACTGATAATTTACAAGACAAATATCCTGTATTATTCACAACTGTGTACCTGTACACCATCATACCTGAGTGCTGAGCTGTACAGGAAACAGGTAGCAAAGTATAGATAGCAAAGGCACTAAAATGTCATTGCTTATGCTGTAGGCACTGGTTTCAGAACTTAACAGATTGTGGCATGAAGAAATGTTCTTGTGTTGGGCCTAAATGCTCTCACACTGGGATGGAGTAGAATTCAGAAAAGTAGGTAAAGTGTGTTGGAGAATCTTAATAGTTGCAGAAGTGCTTTTGTGTGATCACTTCATGTTAACTATATCTCAAGCTTTGTCACCAGATTAAAACTCTGATGGAGGGAATGCATCTTCTCAGCAAGCAGTCCATATGGGTACTTGTATTTTTTCTAAATGCTGCCTGATTACTTGGGCACATCTTTTAAATCAATTGTATTGTCTTGTTTATGCAAACTGATCAACTAGATATTCCATCCCTAATTACCTAAGGTAATTTTTAAACAACCCTTTAAGGTAGATCAGTGAATCATCTGTATGTCTCAGACCTGGAGGCTGAGGCAGAGAAGGTACTGAAAACGTGAGATACTTGACTCTTGAATATTGCCCAGCATCAGCTCTTGAATAGGGCAGTGTTTCAAAGGCCCAAGCTTTGAGTGGTGGCACTCAAATTTCCAAGACGTTAGAAACACTTCCATGTGACCACAGTAATCCATGGAGACTAGCTATGTCTCTTCAATCTCCTGTCTTCCTGCTTCTCTCTGCTATCCAAGGAGAGGTATGTTGGTATCTCCTTTCAAGAGAGCATTTCAGATGAGGCTGTTCTGTTTCACTTTCAGGATGAACTTCTCTTGCCTCTTTCCTGCTTCTTGGCACTTCAGTGTTTCCCCAGTAGGTTGTCCTCGGATTCTGAACACCACATTACGGCAGATTGTTGTCCTTGGACTTCTTGGTGCTGCACTTTTCTTGCTGTACTGTTTTGTTCTCAGATACGGGGACAAAAAGCTGCACAGGTAAGAATAGGTAGACAAAAGTAATATGCTCTAAACGTACTTATTCATAATGGAAAATCAAACAGAAGCTTCAAATGTGTATCTGCACCCCACTGAATTGATTAGGAGTTGCCATTTGATCCTTCGCTAGTTTACTTGATAGTCTGTCCTGCTGCATTCAGTGGAACCTGTTCTCATGCAGTGTTCTTGTTCTTCAGGCATTTTGCTCGAGTAACGGATACAGAAGCCACAAATACAGATGATCCCAACCTGAATTATGGCATCATGGTGGACTGTGGCAGCAGTGGATCTAGGATCTTCGTTTATTGGTGGCCAAGGCACAAAGGCAATCCACATGATTTGCTGGACATCAAACAAATGAGAGACAAAACCAGAAATCCGGTGGTTATGAAAATTAAACCAGGTACTAAGCGAAAAAAAAAAAGCCGTAAAACTGTATTTTATCTAGTCAGCAACTGATCTGAAAAATTCTACCACAGTTTTATTATTTATTTATTTAAAACTTTTGTATGCCATCACCACATGCCTTGGCATCTCAGGATGGCTCACAGTACATACAATTAAAAACAATAAAATGATCTTTATAAATAACAAATTCAATAAAATATTACATAAGGACAAAAAACAAAAAGAGTGAATGTTCAATGATAAAATACTAGTTTTTAAAATAGCTATTAAATATAAAGGTTTTAACCTGGCACCGAGAAGAATATAAACTCGGCGCCAGGCACACCTCTCCAGGGAGCGCATTCCATAATCTGGGCACCGCTGCAGAGAAGGCCCTTCTCTGTAGATGTTTTTTTAAATTTCCTTTAAAGAGGGCTCCCGGAGCAAAGCCTCTCCCGCAGATCTTAAGGGGCGTGAGGGCATGTAAGGGAAGAGGCACTCCTTCAGGTATCCTGGTCAATGCAAGGTGGTAATTGATTAAAATGCAGCAAGTTCATTTTGACTATTTCTTCCTTCATACAATAGATGATCTGGTGCAACTTGATTCTACCCACTTTTACTTGGAAATTGGTCCCACTTGGTTGCATGAATGCCTGAGCTAATTATATTTAGGATAGGAGCTGAGAATCTTGCGGAATCTCATCTCGCTTGGCGAACGAAACTGACTTTCACAGATGCTTTCATTTGGTATATTGGTGTAATTACTTAAATAAAGGTGTTGATGGTTAAAATAGCTTATACTGCCACAATTAATTTAAAAAGAACTCCTGTCCATTCTTGCAAGTAGTTCTGCCTGCCATTAACATTTAAGTCATACTTTTGTTTTGGACAAAGCATTCTCTTTAAAACAAAAACGCTCACTTTGGTAGGAAAATTAAGGCTGCAGGCATGAATTACGCCAGGTAGATTTTTTGCTTGGGCAGTCATTTGTTGCTTGATTAGAAATTCAGAAGAAAATGTTCTATAAATTTTTCAGGTCTTCAGAATACGGATGGAAACTTCTGTTGATTGTGAGGGAGAAGGTTGCCTCTGGGTCCTCCCGTGTAGAGCAGATGGCCTCGGGGGTGGGCCCCTGTCCCTGATGTCAGCAGGTCCCTTGCCAAAGCACACAGGGAAGACACAAGAGGTGCAGGGCATAGCTGAGCATACAGCTGAGCTTTGCGATGGGGACTTAGCAAGGGCTCAGGAGTGCCGACCCAGTGCCCAACCCACTTCTCACATCGCCTTTGGAAATTGGACAAGGAGTCTTGTGCACTCGGCTGTCCCTTCCCTGGGTGGCACCTTGGAGCTCCACCGGCTGAGTTAGCACTCAATTGCTCTCCCACCCACTCTTCCCTTTGAAAGGGAGGTGCTTTGGGGAAAAGGCCTGTGGGCTGGATGAGCCTTCCTGGCAAGCCAGATTTGACCTGTGGGCCAGAGGTTTCCCATCCTTACCCTAAGATAATAAGAGCCTTTTCAAAAACACTATTTTACGTTCAACAGCCACACATTCTAATTTCTCTCTTTGTTGTTCTCCAGGCATTTCAGAATTTGCTACCTCTCCTGATAAAGTCAGTGACTACATCTTCCCACTCCTAAAGTTTGCCGCAGAACATGTACCCCGTGCAAAACACAAAGAGACACCATTGTATATTCTCTGTACAGCGGGGATGAGAATTCTACCAGAGAGGTGACTGCCGCTTTATTTACATTAAGATTCGGTATAGCACAGTTGAGGGCAAATCAAGACCACATGTGGCTCATGCCTGGGCCACCCCCTCACCAAATGCCCTGCATGCTCCCACCCCAAAGCGTTCCTTATGTGTAAGTCCAGGTAGAAGCGCAGCCTTCTTTTCCTGGCCTGCTCAGCGGAGAGAAAGAGAAGCTACTGCTTGAGCCAGTGTGGAAGGAAAGCTGCGTGCAAGGTCAGTGTGTGAATAAGAGAATTCATGTGAAGAGGGGAAAGGAGGAAATTATATACAGGGCTAGACATGAATAAGAGGATGGGAATGGAAGCAGAGTTTGGGAATGGTATTAGATGTGTGTGATTGTCTCTACATGAAAAAGGGTGTTTGAAGCTTTGGTGCTCCCTAGGGTATGTGTGAGTCTGACAGAACATGATGATGGATGAATGAATTAGAGAGGTTCTGCATGTTCCCACCCACCTGTGCATTTGGCCTCAGCCACCCCCAGTATGTGCCCCCAAACCCCTTTTGCCGTGAGAGGGTGCACTCCTCTGCCCCAGAAAGGTTGCCCATCTCTGAGATACGGCATCAAGTGCGGTGAGTGTCTTGACTGTATTTCAACTGTTTGGAATGTTGCAGCCAGCAAAAGGCCATCCTGGAAGACCTGCTTACCGATATCCCGGTCCATTTTGACTTTTTGTTTTCGGACTCACATGCTGAGGTTATTTCAGGAAAACAGGAAGGTAAGGTAATGATGTTAAAAAAACATAATTTGAACTGAGTTGTGAGATTAATGCAAAGCTTGTTGCGGGACTGGATTGTTGAATGGGCGACAGACGACCAGCTGCTACAAAAAAAGGAACTGGAGGCGATGGCATGGACCACAGCACAGGTGGGGGAGGGATGCGTCCCTTCATTGTGTGCCAACGTGCTAATTAAGCTTTTTGTTTCCCACCTGTTTGCATCTTGCTTTCTTGCTTGCTTCAGCATCTGAAACTGAAGTCTCCCAGTCTTGAATAGGTGTGTATGCACAGCGGCCTGAAATGTAGAATTTGCCTTACCAGTGGCCTAGTGAGTGTCTGCTTTCAATGTGCAGTGCGTCCCCAGCCATGGGCATTGACACACAAGGCTGAAGAAAGGTTCATTTGAGCACACTTGACAGCTGCCAGTAGACAAGCTGACAATTAAAAAGCAAACTGGTGAAAAGGTATTTTTCCCTCAAAGGGCAATGCACATGCATATTTTCCTCTTCGAAAAATGCTCAAATTTGCCAAGTAGGTTTAAAAAAGCAGCTGTCAAAAAAAAAGTGTCATAAGAAGGGCATGGAATATAGATCTCCCCCTTCTGGTGTATTTTGAGGCTCAGAGAAGTATGGAAAATATGGATGGCTCTGCAAACTGTCAAGGTAGTTACTTAAAAAGCAGAGCATCACCCTGCTAAAAGAGAAACATGCCTGCTACCCAGTTTTGAAGCAAAAGCCCCTTTGCTGCTTTGCTTTTCAGTTGCCAGTTCTCCAAGTGACAGCTGTCAGTGTTAACAAATTAACCTTGCATGCAGCTTTGCTTTGTCAACATCACTGGATGTTCAGCCCCAGACACTGTTGAGGACATTGGAGAGGCAGGACTCCACATTTTGGGCCTCAGTAAGTATGCACCTATGAAAGAAAGGGGAAAAATTGGTCTCATGGGGATTTTTTAAGGGTAACGACCCAAGAGCAGTTGCCTGTGCTGTTTCCAGTAAGCAAGATTGCTACACCCAGCAAGAAGTTTTGCTGCTTTTGCCAAGTGGCTTGCTCACCACTTTCCTCGACCCATGAAGGGACTGGTCTACCTGATCTGGATGACTGGACAGCCCAGCATGGGTTGCCAGGGTGCCTTGCTGCCAGAAGAAGCCAACCTGCAGGAAGCAACCTGGGTTTGCCAAACAGAATCCCCAGCCATGACTGTTTCCTCGTGACTGGTGGTTTGTCGTGCAGATTCAGTCTGTGTAAAAGAAGTCGAGGGGAGGTGAGTAGGATTAGGTTGGTCATGCGTGGGAACGGCAGGGGCATTCGTTAGAATTGTTTTGGGAAGGGGAGTGAACTGAGGATGAGAAGCATTCCTTCTGCAAGGGAGTTGTGAGAAGCGGCCGCAGCAGTGCAGTGTCGGGATTCAAGGGCGCCTGCTGTGGGTTTCGGCTTCAACTCCGTTGTGCTCCATCCACATAAGAGTTCATCTGAATAATGCAGATTGTAATATTTTTGAAGTAACCGTTCTCATAGCCTCCCAAGGCTATTTTCAAAGATAATTACAGTGCATGAAACACACTTCTTGGAATACCCTTACTTATATCTTATTTTTAAAAAAATTGTTTTATGCTTCCCACATCTGTGCCTTTTTGTCATCCTCCCCTTGCTGCTGCTGTGACTGTTCTTCTCTGCACCACCTGCCTTTTTTTCAGCCTTGCCTTGTTCTGTTTTGAGAGCAGTCGGCTGGCCCTGGTAAATGTTATACAGATGCAAAAGCACACTCTGGTGACAGCATTTGGTATTGCTGCACAGAGCACTTTAATTATTCTAGATTTCTTTTTCTTTTGCAAGTTTGGGGTAGGAACATTTAGGCCACTCTTGCGTGATCTCTGATGCATTTTAGTGGCCAAAGAGAAGCTTGTTCTGCCCTATACTTTGAGGAGCACCTTTTCTGGATTAGAATAACAATTAAGCCCCATACCACTTAAACTACTCACATTCTCTCAGCACATAAGCCACATTAATGTGCCATGCCACATGTGTGGGCCGCATGCACCATCTAAACTCGCCCTTTGATATGTGTGTGTGCAGCATAAGCCTTTGTAAGAAGGGGACCTTCATAAGTACACCTTTGTTCTTGAACGTTTCTGCTTGATTGGGCCTCCATACCTCACAAAGTTTTGGATTGCATGGAAGCTTTGGCGTGCACAGTTTTACATACAAAAGCTGAGTTTCTGTAGATGTACATACTGTGCATGAGAATATCAGGTTGGCACTCATTCGTTCTCATGACACTGAGATTGGGGCTCACAGGTGTGCCCCTCTGGCAACCTGACAGAGTACACTAGCGGTTTCACCAGTTTCATTTTTAAATAAAATAAAGTCGGGCTTCTATATTAGTGTAGCAGTACTGTAATACTGTCCTGGTGTGGCTTTCTAGAAGACACAGCTCAACAATGTTAAAATACTTACAAAATTTTCTGTTAAATTTTCTCTAGGTGTGTATGCATGGATTGGCATCAACTTTGTCCTTGGGAGATTTGAACATACGGAAGATGGTAAGTATCTTAATCACAGTTAAAGCTCCAGGACAGCTGACAAAGGAGAAACACATCTGGTCATCTGCTTGATGCTCGTGCAGACCTCTTCTGGGTCACAAGGGTGCGAAACCTCCAGCCTGAGAGCGCCTAGGTTCCTTCCACTTGCCCGTGCTCAGGCCCTTGCCCTTAGCTTAGCTGGGTCTTGAGGAGAAGAATCCCAACTGTTATGTCTATTTATATAGTCACCTAAAGCTTTTATATACTGTCCTTCACTCCAAGTCCCAGGACCAACCTCACAGTCCAGCATCAGGCAACAAATTACATCAGCTAAAACCTCATCTTAAAACACATGAACACTTTTAAAATCAGGAAAATAAGAAGGGGTTTGCCTGGTGCCAAAACGAAAAAAGTGTTGGTGGTGGCGTACCTCTCTGGGGAGCGAGTTCCATAACTGGGGCACCACTGCAGAGAGGGCCCTTCTCTGGGTAGCCACCCTTCTGATCGCCTTCAAAGGGGGCTCCTGAAGAAGGACCTCCAGCCCAGATCTTCAAGAGTGGGCAGGTATATATGGAAGGAGATTCTTCAGATACCCAGATCCCAAACCATTTAGAGCTTTATAAGTCGTCATCAGCACCTTAAATTGGGCCCGGACTTCAACTGGAAGTCAGTGCAGATGGTAAAGGACTGGCATTATATGTGTATATCTGCTGGTTCCTGTTCGCATCCTGGCTGCTCTGTTCTGAACTGGTTGAAGTATCTGGACTATCTTCAAGGGCAGCCCCATGTAGAGTGTGTTACACCAGTCCACTCAGGAGGTTACCAGGGTGTGGGTCACCATCACTAGGCTCTGCTCATCCAAGTAAGGGCATAGTTGGTGGATCAGCTGAAGCTAAAGGAAAGTGCTCCTCACCACAGCAGTCACCTGGAACTCCAAAGATAATTCTGGGTTGAGGAGCACTCCCAAAATGCGCACCTTGTCCCTTAGGGGGATTGCAACCCCGTCCAGAACAGGACAAAGATCACTTACCCAGAGAGTTGAACGACCTTTGCCTTGTCTGGATTAAGTCTCAGCTTATTGGCCCTCATTCACCCCGTCATTGGTTAAAGACAGTTGCTACCTCACCTGGATTAGATGTAAAAGAGAGGTAGAGCTGGGTGTCATTGGCATACTGATGACACCTGAGCCCAAACCCCTGAATGACCTCTCTCAGCAGTTTCATGTAGCTGTTAGAAACATAGAAACAGCGCGAATCAGAAGGGGTCTCCCGGGCCATCTAGTCTGACCCCCAGCTCAAGCCGGCTCCGCTCACGACATGCCCACCATGTTGAACATCATGGGGGATAGAATGGAGCCCTGTGGAACTCCGTGGCACAGCTGCCGTGGCCCAGAGCTATAATCCTCCAGTAACACCTTCTGGAATCGGCCTGCCAAGTAGGAATGGAACCACTGCAAAGCAGGGGCACACTTCCCTGTCCCTCTCCCTGCACAGGTCATCATACAGGGGGACCAAGGCAGTGTCATTCCTGTAACCAGGCCTGAAGCCAGATTGAAATTGGAGATAGCAGTGGCTGCCAGTTGGGAGCTGTGTAAAGCTTGTTTGCAAAGCTTGTTTAGAGTGGCCTTCCCTTAAAACTTGATACCCCAGAAGAGGCTCAGCCTGTGTGAACTGGCAAACTCGTAATGATTGGCTAGCGTTGCAGGGATGCCGTGGATGCCTTGTAGGTTTCTGTGATAGCACACATGTTCACAGTTTAGATGCCAGAGAATGTGCACCCCACTTCTCAACAGTGCTGACTTGGTTTCTTACCTTTCAGAGGATGATGCTGTTGTGGAAGTTCACGTTCCTGGCAGTGAAATCAAGGAATCAATTGTTCGCAAGAGGACTGTGGGTATTCTTGACATGGGTGGTGTGTCAACTCAGATAGCATACGAAGTCCCTAAAACTGTAAGCTTTGCCTCTTCACAGCAGGTTATTATCTGTACAACTTTTCCTTCTTTTCCTTTTGTTTTTCCTGTGTTTTAACTCATATCCATCAATGCCTTTTCTTTTACATGTTATGAGTTCTGTGTTTTGTTGCGTGACACTCACCCCAAGGCAAGAGAGGAAGTTGAATGTGCCGCCACCTCAGCCACGATGTTTTGCATTTCATCCTGTGTGTGTTTTATGCCTTCTGCTCTCTTACCAGTTAACCCTCAGTTGCAACGTTCCTGTTTTAACTGTGATATTCAAGGCCTGCACTGTGGGGAACTATTTGGTACAGGTTAGCTTTGCCAGGCCTAACTCACAACAATATAGCCTTTGACAGGAAAAGAACTTTTTAAAAAAGTATCCTTACGAGAAGCTTTACAGATGCTGCATGTTCATATGTCATGCTTATATTTCCTCTGCTGAGTTTGCATTTTAAGTGAAGCCATTGCTTTAGTCTGGACAATGCAACAGCCTGTTGTTTGTTAAGTAACCGCTGAGGAACCGTGGTGTGTGGTGCCTGCTCCCAGCTGGGGCCCATTGTGTCATCCAGATCCCACTGGGGAATATTATTAGAGGATTAAGCAACATTTACACAACCCACAGTGTTCTAGTGTTATGTGCAGTTTGTTTTAACCCTTGATTAATCCTCTGCAACTGGTTATCAAAGGCACAAGAAGCTGTAGCAACCTCTGGTTGTGGGTTGTGTATCAACAATGGCAGACCACTGCATCATTACCCCGCAAGGAGTTATTAACCCATAATGAGCTGTCATGTCATCCAAACTAGCCCAGCATGAATGACAGAGTAGCTAATGGTTAATATTTAAATATTTAGCTCTGCATTAAATAGAAAGCTGTTTTCAAAGAGGAAGGCTGAAGGCTCGGTGTGCACCAGTTCATTCAGTTCACCTTTTGACATGAGTGTGGGTGCATGAAGGGGCTAATACGTGCACCTCGGACAGCCTTTTCGGAAAGAACTTGACCTTTTAGGGCAGTGTGGTGGCTTGTGACTATTACCTTACCTTCCAGGCTTTCTCTTTTTACTGTTCACATCTCCTCCCCACTGCAGTGCCATTTGACGATGGTTAGCCTCAAGCACGGTTTGCTCCCCCAACCCTGGTCAAGACCTCAAATGTATGGCAAAGGCATGGTTTCGCTTTCTGAGCTGAGACCCGCGCATAGATGAGGCCCTACTTGGTGCACGCGCATGCGCGCACACAGGCTAGAGAAAAGCGGTAACTGCCTTACCCCTGGGGGCAGCGTTCAGTCACGCACTGCAAACTGATTGGTGGCCAGTCCTTGACCATGGCTGAAACATCGAGGTTTGTTTGTTTATTTAAAACATTCTTATGCCGCCCCATCGCAACAAAGCCTCGGGGCGGCTCACAACACACAAATAAATGCAGAAATAATAAAATAAATAAATATTAAAATTATACAATAAATAACACCCCCCCAGTGCATTCTCGGCTAAAAAAAAAAAACCCTAGTTAATAAATAATTAACAGTTAAAATATGTTTTAAATAAAAAGGTCTTAGCCTGGCGCCGAAAAACAAATAACGACGGCGCCAGGTGGACCTCTCTGGGGAGCGCATTCCATAGATGGGGCGCCACCGCAGAGAAGGCCCTCCTCCGGGTGCTCACCCTCCTAATCTCATTCACAGAGGGTTCCTGGAGGAGGGCATCTGCTGCTGACCTCAAGGAGCGGGAGGGCATATATGGGTGCAAGCGTTCCTTTAGATAACCAGGTCCCAAGCCGTTGAGGGCTTTATAGGTCATAACCAACACCTTGAATTGGGCCCAGACTTCAATCGGGAGCCAGTGGAGCTGACGGGGAACTGGGGTTATATGAGAACAACACCCAGTCCCCGTCAGCAACCTGGCAGCTCTATTCTGCACCAACTGAAGTATCCGGAACGTCTTCAAGGGTAGCCCCACGTAGAGCGTGTTACAGAAATCTAATCGGGAAGTTACCAGCACATGTGTCACTGTCACCAGGCAGTCATGCTCTAGGAAGGGACGCAGCTGATGTATCAGCCGAAGCTGAAGGAAGGCGCTCCTCGCCACCACTGTCACCACCGTTTAGAAGGTTTTTGCGATTTCATCCAAACAAGTGTTTTCAGTTTGTGGAACACTTGCAAGCATTTGCCAAAAGGGGGCCTTGGGGTAAATGTATTCACTGGTTTCGTATGATCCCGTGGCTTGTTTTAGGCTGGTCGGTTAACCATCCCAGCTGTTGACCCTCAGCCACCCACACCTGGCAAGGGTGATTGTGCTAATCAGGGGTCCCATAACCGCTCTGGTTTATTTTCCCTGCCCAGTTGTGTAAACACACACACCGACTGTGAAAATGTGGAGAGACAGTGCATCAATTGCAGGAGGTTATTTTAAAACTGCTTGGTGAATCTCTTCTTGTCACCTGCCCATAATCTCAGTTGAAGCCGTCCCAGGCAGGATTGCTAGAAGACCCCAAGTGCTGTTTTTGAGTGTTCCAAGCCAGGTTTCCACAACTAGGGATCCACCAAGCCAAGTGCAGTTTGCTGGCAGTGTCTGTAGCCAAAGGCCCTCTGGAATCTTGCCGCCAGCCTGAGTTTGTAGAAATACTGGGGGTGGAGGGTGGGGCACAGCTTGCCAAGCTCTGGGTAAGAGCAGTATTCAATACATTGCTTGATTCAAGCATGCAGACTCGCCCACTTGCCACTGCACAGGCAGCGTAACTTACTTGTGACACACTTCAACAGCTTGAAAAAAGAACCCAAGTTTGCCAGAAGTATGTTCTCGCCACGCAGGTGCCTGCACTTGAAACCTGTACAGTGGGGCTTCCTTTAGCAGTCATTCAGAAAGGTCCATTAGTAGAGCCAGTCTGCTGGTAGGGGACCAGTCATTCAGACCACACCACCAGTTCTGCTCCGGTTACACTGGCTGCTACATGTTTATTTACAGAAGCACTTTAAAGAACTGGTTTTAATCTTCAAAGCCTTAACTACAGGGATCGGGTTCTTCGAAGGCCCGCCTGCACCCTCACAAGCCCATCTGTGCCTTCAGATGACAGGCTCTGCTCTGTGGCCCATCCGTAAGAAATATTAGATTGACAGATGCCAGGAGCAAGACTTTTTGGTGGTTTTCCTGCCATTCTGGATCTCCCCCACCCACCCCAAATATGTGTGCTCCCACATCTAGAAACCTAAGTGGAAGTTTATGGGATTTTAAAATGTTGCTTGCTTTTTATTAATCACTTTTGCTTTTTACTAATGGCTCTTAACTACTTTGACTGTCTTAATTATGCAATTTTTAAAGAGATGTCATGGTGTGTGTACTTTAGCGGACTGGTTTTACAGGCTTGCATTTAATGTAGTTGTATTTTGTACAGTACCTTCAGAGGGAAACTGTGCCTCAGAAGATACTATATGAATGAGTTATCGCTTGCTTAAGAGAGGATGGTGGGCTTAATTGTGTTTGGCCATAACTTATGTGGGCCTGGTCTGCTGGCATTGTTTTGGGGTTTGGTGTTGCTGCTTGAGTACTTGGGTACTAAGTACAAGGAATTTGTGCAAGAAAGGTTGAGAGCTGCAGATGTGAAATTTCTCCTTGTATTAAGCACCTTGAGAGATAAAACATAAGGTGGAGCTGTTGATGCTGCTTATTCCTCTGGTCTGGTGGCTTGCAGGAGGAGGTGGCCAAGAACCTGCTTGCAGAGTTTAATTTGGGGTGTGACGCTCACCAAACAGAACATGTGTACCGAGTCTACGTGGCAACTTTTCTTGGCTTTGGTGGGAATGCTGCCCGGCAAAGATATGCAGACAGCATATTTGCCAACACACAATTTAGAAACAGGTAACATGCTGTAATTGACCTGCCTTCCAGCTCCAAATAGTGGCTCTCCTTATACACCCCGTGGTAAATCAAGCCCTGTGCAACAGGCATGCAGTCAAAACAGCCGGGGGCTATGCTTCCATCTTCAGAATGCAATTTTAACAGCAAGGCACTGCTCTTATATAGTTGGCTTCAGGTGACTTGGGGAATACGCAAATTCACCAGCCTGGTCGACTGTCAGGCTTCAAAACTGGGGTGGTGGGAGGTAAATGTTTGCACAAACTCATTTAATCCAGACCGCTTTCCTGAGGTTTGTAATACAGAAGGACCCTTTATATGCAGAAGGACAGCTGGTTCAGATTTTGGGACCTTCTTTCCATTACCATGGATGGTCCTGGCATCTGTGTTTGTATGAGCAGTGAAGTTTGTTAAAAGCAAACTTGTACTAATCATACCTTTCTGAGCACTGGGTATAACAGCGTTTTTGTAGTCAAGGTCATGACTTTACAGAAAAGCCAGTCTGGTGTATTGATTTATGCTCCCAGTCAGCATGGCCATTAGTCATGCTGGCAGTGGATGATGGGTGTTATAATTGAACCTACCTACACTAAATTCCATTGCAAAATGATGGGAAGCACCGCATCTGAATTAATCTATAAAGCAAAATTGGATTCATTGCACTTTTTACATGTGACTTTTTAAGGGGTAACCTTAGAATGTCTGGGTTATACCCAAAATTATACTTCTGTCTAGGATAGTGCCCCCTGGTAGCAGAGCAGTCCCCTGGCATCCCTGGCTAGAAGGAGGCAGAGGCAAGGCTGGCTAAAATGGTCTCCCAGCTTCTGCCTCTTTCTTCCCCCAGTTGCCCCACAGCTCCAACAATATCCTTTAGCCAAGTTTTTCAGAGGGCTTTTTAGCATAACTTTGCTCAATCTTGCTTGCAGGCTTCTAGGCAAACAGATTGGCATGACTTCTGATACCCCCTATTTAGACCCTTGCCTGCCTTTAGACGTTGAGGATGAAATCCTGCAGAACGGGCAGAAGATGTACCTTCGAGGAACGGGAGATTTCCACCTGTGTCGTGAAGTCATTCAGTCTTTTATGAATAAGACAAATGAAACACAGACGTCCCTGAATGGCGTTTATCAGCCTCCTGTGCACTTTGAGAACAGCGAGTTCTATGGCTTCTCTGAGTTCTTCTACTGTACCGAAGACGTATTGAGGATGGGGGGAGACTACAATGCTGCTAAATTTATTAAAGCTGCAAAGGTAAGCGTGTGCTCTGCTTTTGCATATGGGGTACTAGTCTTTTGGCACACTAGGAGATCCCGGCTCAGTTCCCCTTTTACTTAATGACCTCTGGCCAGTCACTTTCTCTCTGCTTAGGTTTGTTGTGCAGATAAAACTTGGGGGACCGGAATGATCTTTGTAAATAGCCCCGAGCTCCTTGGAGGAGGGACAAGACATGACTGTTACCAAGACAGGGAATAGATTCCGTTGAAATCCTTGTTCTGTCCTGGCTTTGTTAGATGGCCTCGGGTGAGATATGGTTTCCCAGTCTTAGTTTCCTGTCTGTGATGTGGGAAATTCATTTTTAAAAAACTTTTATCTGTACTCCTTCCTTCTCCCTGACATCTTCTAATCTTGAGTCTTGTGCACACAAGTGATTCTAGTTACTCTCCTTATTTTGCTTCTGTACATTGAGGTGAATGCCATAGGGAGTAGAGAACATTCTAGGCTAGCTGCAGGAACCACACAGATTATAAAGCAATGCGCATGCAAATTTGATGTATGAACATAAGTTAATGCTTCTTTTCAGTTCTTCCTCTATACATATTTCCCTGAGATGCCATTTTATCCTTGCCAGAAGGATGGTGATGAGGATGGCCCATGACGACTTGCAAGGCTCAGAGGGAATTTGAATGTGGGTCTCTGGTTGACACATTCCTTAGTACCAAAGTAATACATAGATGCAGATATTACACATCCTTTCTGTTTGTGTTTTGTCCTTTTTTAGGATTATTGTGCAACAAAGTGGTCTGTCCTTCGAGAACGTTTCGACCGAGGCCTTTACGCACCCCATGCAGACCTCCATCGATTGAAGTGAGTGTTGGCATGACTTCCGAGTTGAAACTGCCTGGGTAGCCTTGCCAGTATAAGAGAAGGACCATGCCCAAGTAGCTACCTCAGGGGTGATCAGGAACACTTGCTCTTGTCTGAACAGTCAGCCATAAACTGCAGAACTTTTTCGGAAGCATGGCCGAAAGTCGGAGTCTCTGGGGTTGTTACTGTTTTTGTGCAAAATGTTAACCATTTGCCGGAGAAATAAGGGAGTGAATTCCTCCATCGCAGGTGGACACTGTTGCTGCGAGGATTAATGTTTATATTATGCCTCAGTGTCCAAGAAAGGGATTGGCTCTTACTTGTTATTGCCGGCGATAAGAATTTGACCTTGGGTACCCAGTGCACTAGATCTGATGAAACGCTCCTGCAAAGCGCAGAGTCATTTACCAAATAAAGATCACAATAGCAGTAACAACACAAGGCGAACCAATTATAGTAGAAAAGAGCTGTGCTTCCACCCCACATCTTTCACCTTTCACGGTTTAGCATTCGGGCCCACTGAAGCAGGACGCCCATTGTCAAGGCAGATCGTACTAAACCCTTCCAAGTAAGCACTAACCCTTCTGGACTCAATCCAGTGGATGCATGCGTAAGTTCCTGTAAAAACAATGCAGCTTTGAATATGCAATTAACACCATAAGGCCAGTGAAATTTATTCTGAGGTTCGTTTGGGTTGTGCTCCTTCTGTCTTAGAATTCTGCCGCTCTTCAAATAACAGCGCAAATTGGTTTCCTCATTGTGGATGTTTATTTTGTCTAGGTATCAGTGCTTTAAGTCAGCCTGGATGTATGAAGTGTTCCACAGTGGCTTCTCTTTTCCTGTGAATTACAGCAACTTAAAAACTGCCCTGCAGGTCTATGATAAAGAGGTGCAGTGGACGCTAGGGGCCATTCTCTATCGGACACGGTTTTTGCCTTTGAGGTATGGCAAGTGCTTTTCACTCCACATTAATGTGACCTGAATATCAAAGCTAACTGGGAAATTTAAACAGAATCTACTTTTCAGTGGACAGTTTTCTCCAGAAACCATGATACTGGTGAGATGCCCTCCCCAAAATAGGAATTGAAGCTGCAGCTAAGTGGGTCGGCAGACTCGGCTTCTTCCTTCCCTCTGTAGGCCCAGCTTCATTATTTATCCTTTGCTTCCAAGCCGGTTAAGGACAGCAGTGTTTGCCACTCCATTGGCAACACAAGCAAAGAGGACTGGCAGGATGAGCGTTCACAGCCGCTGAATCAAAGGCACGCCTTGTAGTGACTGGCCCTCTAAAGTTCTAAGGGGCTCTTTGGGGAGGGCAGGCATTTCTTTCCCAAGGGAAAGCTGAAAATCCCCCAGGCACAGTCCCGCTTCCCCACGTTCTTCTAGCAAACTTGCCATCCATGCTTGAGTGAGGAGGAAATTGTGTAGGGTGTAACAGGCTGTAGACTTGCTTTGCGACCACGCTGGAGGCTCAGAGTCTGGCTTCTCTCTTCGCAGAGACATCCAACAGGAGAACTTCCGAGGCAGTCACTCCCACTGGCGCAGCTTCTCATTTGTTTACAATCATTACCTGTTCTTTGCCTGCTTCTTCGTCGTGCTTTTCTCCATCCTGCTTTACCTGCTGCGGTTGCGGCGGATCCACCGGCGCATGCTGCACGGCAGCCTGGCCCCTTCCCTGTGGATCGAGGAAGGCCTCCCCCCACAGAAGATCCCCGGAGGCTTGTAGGCTGCTGGACGTTCCTCTAAGACTCGCTCGCGAAAAAGCCATCGTTCTGCCTCAGGGTCTTCTGTCATCCCTAGGAACTGTTGCCTGAACCTCTCGCAGGAGCGATGGAACTGGGAGTCATCTCCCCTACATCTTGAGGACTGAGCGGGGAAAGCAGAGTCAAACTTGGCTTGGCTAGGCTGAGGGGACTATGAGCCAACATTATTCTATAGCTTCTTCCTGAAAAGTAAATGCACTTTGAAGTGGGGGGGGGGCAGGAACAGAAAGGGTGGGGGCGATGTAGACTTGAAGCCAGTAAATAGGAAAATAGCAAGTCGTCTGTGCTCAGCGGCAGATGATACAATGCTTCCCTCAGTATGTGGTAAGGCTTAGAGTTCTTGTGCCTGAAAGCAGGCTCGCTAATGGAGGGTCTGGCTGCTAGCTCACACCCTTCGGGCATCATCATTCCCTATGCCCCCGAACCACTTTGTCGCAGGCAAAGGCTCTTTAACGCCTCCCTGGTATGAACAGCAATAGTAGAGCTCTCCCTTAATACCCCTCAGCCACTCACTCCATTTTTATAAGCAGTTTTTATCCAGCTTTGCAGCCAAAAAAGGCTCCTCAAGCAGGTTACAGAGATTAATAACAACACAGGCCGTGTTGCAATCTGAAAGACAATGGACAAAAAGAAAAGGGAATGGGGGGGGGGAGGGGAAGGAAGGTGATAACAAAGTTCCTACGATAACTGGAGTAGACCCACAGGAAGGTAAGGATCAGGGAGAGCCTAAAACAAGAGTCACCTACCCACAGGGGAAAAAATGGGATAAGCACCCCAGTATTTATTGCATTATAGCTTTTTATTGTACTACAAATCAGTCAATAAAAACATTGCCATGCCTAGGCAGATAGTGCTGGGGCATTTCCTTGAAGCCCTGCCTGCTAAGTCTGGGATCCGCTGACTAGCAGAAACCAGAACAGTCCCTGGAAAGGGAAGCTCATAAAGATCTAGACCAGCTTTTGCCAGGGGATATTTCCATTGGAGCAGGAAAGACTGGATGGGGAGAGACAGTTCTGGGAAACAGGCTTGAAGAGCCTTCCAGTTCTGTTCTGTTGCTTTTATAGCCCCCCTTTCCTCTGGAGAGGTACCCTGGGCGACTTAAACCCAATCTTCCTCCGCCCAGTAGTAGCCGCCTCCTGGCTGCGCCTTCCCACTTCATCCATAGCTGGGTGGGGTGGGTGGGAAGTCCCTGAAAATGTCTGCAGGGGAGATGAAATGGGGAGCTTGGGATGGGACCCAGCCTTGGGATGGGATTGCGGGAGAGGCTGCCACTGTTGTCACAGGAGAGGTGTGATTCTGAAGCCATTTGCCTGCGAAAGCAAGCGCCTGAGGGCAAAGGCCTCCACCAGGCCTTCTCTTGCTGTTGGCTCCATGGCATCCAGGAACGCTTTGCCGTTGCCTGCAGTACGAGGGGCTGGACTGCAAACAGATGTGGAACCAGTCCTTGCTCAGCTCCAAATGTGACTTCCATTTTTTCCCCTACAAGTTGACTGAAGTGATAAGAGCCTGAGTTTCTGAGCTTTGGATCTAAGCTAAAAGGCATACGGTGCTCTTCCGACAAAGCATAGTGCGACCTGTGAGAAATGTGCTCACAGCATCCTTAGAACGTTCTGATCTCGGGTGGCTGAACACAGCAGTGGGCGTTGGGAAACACAGCAAGGGCAGCCTCGCCTGGAGCCCCCTCTGTGTGTTTGGGCAACAGCAGTTGTGCAGTGGCAGAGATTGTGTGGGGGGGGGGGGCATTTCATTCTTTGGTCTGACAGTGGTCTTGCATATCCTGTAGAAGTGAAGAATCGGGAAAGCCTATTTGACTAGCTGTGAAATGGTATGATGTACGCTCACATTTCATCATTTCTGGCTATAGAAAGCCTTTTTTCTTTTTTACTTGAAAGAACATGTTCATGATTTAAAGTGGCATTTATGTGAACGTCTCATGAAATACAAGCTTTATCCTCTTAAAAAAGAGTATCTTTTTTTGTTGTTTGATTTGTCCAGATGACTCCCATGTATTACCGCTCTGTATTAAGTTTTTCCCTTCACATTTAATTTTGTTCTGAAGACTTGACTCCAGGTTCCCTTTCGGCATCCCAGGGACTTGCCATAGACCTTTCAGGCAAGAGGTGCAGACGCCGAGTTGTTCTGAAAATGGAAAGCTGGTGTTTCCAGAGTGCCAACAAACTCGCAAACCCTAACACCCTTTTTAAAAAACACTAAAATGTTCAGTGTTTGAGAGCCAAAACCCCTACCTACCAAAATCCCTTACTCTCAATAAATTGTTAGTGAAAGATGCCAATTTCTATCTCAAGTTTTGGTTGCAGTCATTTTCCTCTTATGCCATGTTGCTTTCATGTTACATGAAGGCACACAAAGTTTATTAACTATCTAAATTAAAAGGTGATAAATGTTCAGCTCCTCGCAGAGTTGAACGAGCTTGGCTCAGGATTCCAGCTTTTGACAGCTATAGGCCAAAGGGCTCATCCACCCACCCTCAGCGCTGTGACTCTTGGATGCTGCTGGAGAAGTTCTAAGCAGATCTTTTGAGCTCCTGTTACTCCCTAAATGTTTGATGTTATCCAGGGTTGAAAAATATGGGCAACTCCTTAGGTTAGTATCAAATGTCTACTGGCATGAGCATCCCCTTTCTAATAAAGAGTAACCTACAGTGTTTCCTCAGTGCAACCCTACACTCTAAATCGGGGGTGTCCAAACTTTTTGCAAGGAGGGCCAGATTTGGTGAGGTGAAAATGTGTAGGGGCCGACCATTCAGCCTGACATTCTTTGAACCATTAACATTAAATGCAAATGAACTATTTTATGAAAGACTAAACAAATAACTGCACTAATGTGAAAGGTGATACTGAGATCTCGACTGCATTATATAGGCCAGTCTGGCTCAAAAACAGTGGTTTTGATGTGCAAGATTGTCACGCAGGTGAAAGTCACTTAGTCTCGTCCTCACGTGGTTCTTGTTAACGTTCATAACCGAGAATGTCTTCTCGCACAAGTATGTCAAACCAAACAAGCTCAGCATTTTCTTAGCAAATGTTCGAATCTCTTGGAACCTGTCTTTATCCAGCTGGCAGTAAAAGTTGATGAGAGAGCTGTTGGTGCCGACTGCGACACTCGACGTCACACTGCAGCTCAATGAGCTTCAGCTGCAGGTGGTCCGGAGCGTCATCAGGGTCCACAGAGAAAGGAGATGAAAAAAGCGTGATCTCTTTTTCAATAGCTGCAAAATCCCGAAAGCGCTGTTGAAGCTCCTCAGCCAGAGATGAAATGTCTGCTTCATACCTCCTTTTTCCGCACTCATATTGTTCTGTGGAAAACTGGTCATTATTTCCTGCAGCGATGGGAAATGTGTGGTATTGGGCTGTGTTTGTGACAGGTGCCTTTGGAAAAGTAGCAGCTTGGTCCCAATGGCTTTGATATGTGAATACAGTTGGCTTACCACTGCATTTTGCCCCTGAAGGCTCGTGTTCAGCACGTTCAGATGCCGTGTTATGTTAACTAATAATTCAAAATCAGCCAGCCAAACAGGATCAGATAGCTCTGGCATTGGTTGTCCCTTTATTGCCAAGAATTGTCCGATTTCCTCCTTAAGAGAGTAGAAGCGCTGCAATGCAGACCCCCAACTGAGCCATCTTACCTCGTTGTGATACACAACATCTCCGTATTCAGCCTGGATGTCAAGTAGAAACTGTTGAAACTGGCAGTGGCACAGGGCTTTGGAGCAAATATAATTAATAGCCTTCATCACCGGTTTCATAACATGATCATATTTCAGATGTTTGGCACAGAGAACTTGTTGGTGAATAATACAGTGGAGTTTTATAGCTTTGCCTCCTTCATTGCTGACTTTGTTACAGACTAGGGTTGATAATCCACTTGGCTTGCCAGCCATGGCAGGTGCGCCCTCCGTAATAATCCCAGAGACTTTATTCCACGGTAGTTTCATGTCATCCACGGCGGAACAAACAGAAACAAATCTATTCCTCGTGTTTGGTCCTTAAGGCTCTGGAGGTCAAGTAGCTCTTCACTCACGTTCATGTCATTGTCCACTCAAAAAAATCAATAACTGAGCGGTGTCAGATGCATCCTTGCTTTCATCGCAGGCTAACGAAAAAAAGTTAAACTTTACTCCTTTTGCCTCTAACTGCCTCTTAATATCAGATGAAACGTCTTCAGTTCTCTGTACCACAGTGTTACAAGCCAGGCAAACTTTGGCAAACTCTTGCTTTTTCTCAGGACAAATTTTCTCCACCATTTTCATCACACAGTCTTTAATAAATTCACCCTCAGTAAAAGGTTTGCAGTGCTTGGCAATCAGCATTGCCACCTCGTAGCTCGCCTTTGTGGCATTTTCATTTGACTCACGGGCTCTTGTGAAAAAGCGCTGCTGTGCCGTTAAAGCAGCTTCCAGTTCCTTCAATTTTTCACCGCGTTCGTTCCCAGTTAGCTTGTTGTAGTTAGCATGTTTCGTCTGGTAGTGCCTCTTGATACTGAATTCCTTGAAAACAGCCACAGTCTCTTGGCAAATTAGGCAGACACAGTTGTTTCGT